GCTGTCAGTCTGCATCCTCACTCCTAACTCTGCTTTGCTGTCTTTCTACATTCTTCCAGGTGTACATCTCTCTTCCTGTCTCTCTCTCTTTTTTTTTTTTTTTTGGTGAGATGCCATAGCAACGGATTAAACGTTTGTATGGCAAACTACCTAGATCTCTTTCAGTCCTCAGTTCATATGGGACAATCCAGAACTAAGATGTGGGATCTGGGTGAGGTCTAGAGGACTAGGCCTCAAATGGGACTGGGCAGAAGGAAGGTTGTGAGACCTGAGCAAGGTCTCTAGAAGGCTAGGCCTATATAGGATTGGGTAGAAGGAAGGCTGGGGGACCTGGGTGAAGTATTACTTTCATTTACACCAGGGGTAGGCAACCTTTCCCCTTTAAGGGCCGAGGGACTTCAGCTCCCAGAATCCCAGGAACTATTGGCCAACATGGGACTATTGGCCAACATAGCTGAGGCGTCTGGGAGCTGAAGTCCCTCGGCCCTTAAAGGGAAAAGGTTGCCTACCGCTGATTTACACTCTGATTTCTTGTTGTCTCTCCCTTTCCATTCAAACTTGCTGCTGCTGTTAGAAGAACCAAAAGGTACTTTATATACTGAATTATAAATTGACTTCATGCATAAGTTGAAAGGGATGCAGTGTTTCAAGAGGTGAAGATGCTGACTCTGCTGATTGCAAGATCGGCAGGTTGGCAGTTTGAGGCCTGGGTGCTGCAGGATGGGGTGAGCCCCTATCACTAGTCCCAGCTTCTGCCAGCCTAGCAGTTCAAAAGCATGCAGATGCAAGTAGATAAATAGGTACTGGATGTATCACTTTGGTTGGAAGGTAAACAGTGTTCTGTGCAGTCATGCTGGCTACATGATCACAGAGTAGTCTCTAACAATGCTGGCTCTTCAGCTTAGTAATGGAGATGAGCACCGCCGCCTACAGTTGGACACAACTTGACAATGTTGTCAATAGGGAGTACCTTTACCTTTATAAGTTGAGAACAGGTTTTGGGATCAAAATTATTGGATTTTTATATGACCCATAGATATGTTGAGAGTAAAACTTAGGGGCACGTAACAAATGATATAAAGGAGGAAGCAGAGGGAAATGATGCCAAAGAACTTACAAGATTCCAGTAGGCACAACTGTTTGAGTTCATCTTGAAGGCTGAATGGATGAGGAGGGAACCGTGGTAAATAGTGGCTGTGTGATGTGTATGTGGGGCTAAGAAAACACATACATGTCAAAAAAGATGAAAAGGCAAAGAAAAGAAAATGGTGACCACATTAACAGTGATTTTAATGTGACAACTCTGCCTGATTTTATCCCAGAAAAGCTGACAAACTTACACAAATGCCTTGCTATTGCTATTATTCAAATCCTGCAAAGCCCGTTCTTCACATCACTCTTTTGAAGGGAAGCACCAAAGAGCTGCCACACTGCCATTTTCCCACTCAGACATTCAAAAAGGGCAAAAGCAATGCTACGGTGGAGAGAGTAGAGGGGGCTTAGTGCTTCTTTTTGGTGCTCCCATGTGTATTTCTCCTGTATAATTTTTTAACACTTTTTGCTTGATAGAGAAGTCAGTGGAGCGCAGAAAGCTTACATGATACATTTTGTGCACTTTTTGGTTGGCTTAGTAAAGGTATTGATTGCTGTTTTATGGATTTTGAATCTTACTGTATATGGCCAGCCCCCAGATATGTTTTCTGGATTTGAGGATACTGCATTTTAAAGGAATCCTAAATTTGAGGATACTGCAACTGGAGAATCCTAAAGAAGAGGGAGCCAAGGGGCTAGTATTTAACTCTCAGAGGTTTCTATCTCCAATGAAGATAAAACTTTTTCATGGGGACTGCATTTGGCAGATTTTACCTATACAGAACCTAAAGATTTTAACAGATGCAACAATACAGAAGCGTACTTCAATGTCTTATGCCTAAGAAAAGGGCAGATAGCCTTACACATGACAAAACCAGCCTAGATCCAGTAACAGTGTAGCTGTTTTGTGGGTTTTGGATTTTACGGTATTTTGCTGTATGCCCAATACAGCTACCCTTATAGATATGTCTTAACCAATTTAACTATTGCTCTTTTAAACTGTGATGTAAAGAATCTCTTTCAGTGAGTAGGGAAAGTACTGCTGTAGTGTTCTGTAGTAAATGAAAGCATGCAGGTCTGAGAATAATGTACTGTTTTGTTGGTTTAACATAATTAGTTTATCTTGATCCTTGAAGTTCATAACAGCATAAACTCTTAAGCTTCTTACAATATAGATATACTTACTTTCATGTTATTTCATGAAAACCGATGGAGAAGGAAGAGAAACATACATTCTAGACTGTTTGCCCCACTCTATTCCTCATACAAATTCATCCTAATTTCACATCCTCTGATATATTGCACGATGTTTTGGTTTGGAAGTGGATCCATGGTTTTGTATAGTATAGCAGGAAAAGAGTGCAAAGGTGGCCTTTCCAATGGAATTAAGATTATGTTGACTGCTCTGTACTGGCTTGGTTCCAAAGCTTTTATCCTAGAAGCTAAGTTACTATGGTTGCAAGTGGCATGGAAAAAGTAATACACACCATTAGTTATCCAGCAGACTGGTGAAGGTGTGGACATAGAAACAGAAATTATTATTTGGAAGACTTGTTCAATTCCTTGCTTACCATTGTATGAATGGAACATTGCAGCTGCATTCACTGGTTCTGTCCATCCCATCATATGGCCCACTGCTTTCCAAATGTGTGAGGTGTAGATGTGGAGTGGGGAGCTCAAGATCAATAGTTTTCCTGCATGGTTAGGATGCATCTACACTGTAGAAATAATGCAGTTTGACACCACTTTTAGTGCTGTATGCCATCCAATGGAACCCTGCTTTTCCCCAAGGACAAGGACAAGATTCTGTCCACCCCACTCTGCTACCTCCACTGAGTTGAGTGCAAATTACTTTAGCACTTTGAACTCAGTTTGCAGCAATAAAATAAAGCTTTCAAGTAAGTAATAAAGAGGGAAAGTGGAAGGAGGAGAGAAAAACTGGAACATTTTAAAAGCAGCTGAAAAAGTGGGACAGCAGAGGATTCATTGGGACTGTTCCTGCTAAATCAGGAAAGTTGGTGGGTATAAAGGTAACAGTATTGATAAAATTGAACTTATGGGCTACATGCAATCCAGCTTTTCAGAACAAAAACTTGATCCCATAGCAAGCATGCATGATGCCATGAGACATAATGATTTGCAGTTGTAAAACAGCAATTAGATAGCATTAAACAGTTTCAGTAGTATTCAGACCAGGGGTTCCCAAACTATGGCCTGTGGGCCGGCCCTGGCCCGTTGAGGCCTTCCTAAGGCCTGTGGCCGGTCCTGCTGCCGCTGTGCTGCCATTGCCCACGCCCGCCACTGGACGCCATTTTGTCTTCCAAAATGGCGCCCGGAGTCATGCGCATGCACTTGGCATTGCGTGTGCATGTGCACGACTCCGAGTGCCATTTTGGAACACAAAATGTGTTCCAAAATGGCGCCAAGAGTTGTGCGCATGTGCGCGCGCCTCCAGCCCCCCGGAAGATCTGGGGGCCAGCGAACCGGCCCCCCGATCAAAAAGCCCAGGGACCCCTGATTCAGACCATGCTGTCATCATAATCATATACCATAATGCATTCTTATCAGTCCAAACCTCACTGCACAGACTTAAGGAAGGCATTTAGGTTTATTTTGTTTTCTGTGAAAACTGGCAATGTAGATGTCTATAAATCCTGATCTTTTTTTTTTTTTTTTTTTTGGAGGGGGGGAGAACACCTCACTGCATGTTGGGAATTAATGTGTTGTGATGAACACCAACGAGAAGATAAGTTCTAGAAGTGCTAGCTTTCCAGAAACAAGGAGGTTTCTCCTCCTCCTCTTCAATATTTGAACTATAAAGCAGCTCATTATTTCAGTTCAGCATCAGTAGTGATTTGCTCAACATCAGACTCTCATGGTCTGAAAAGGATATAAAACTAGGGTTTCTTCCAGAACATGCTCTCCTGGATCATCTGTGCTTTGACAGATAACAGTATTTTGCTTGCCCTGAATACATTAATTATGTCCATTGTAGAATCACATTGCAATTTCTCATTATTGTAGTTCACATGTCTGAACTCTAAACACTGGGTTATGTTTAAATCAATCAGGAACTGCACATAACTGCAGGAGTTAAATAAATTTAACAGTGAAAAACAGCCTATAAAGGATTACTACATTAAAGGGGAAAGAGAAATGTGTGAGAAAGTGGCTGAAATAACCCGAGACTCCAGTAATCTCAGAATGAAGAATATTGTAAGAAAAACCAAAATGTGCAGACTGCCAGAAATAGTGCAAATTGAGTCCACTTTAAGGGTTAGGGTTACTACTAGGGAATCATGAGAATTGTTTTTTTTTTTCCTGAGACATTGAGCCTTCTCTGCCAGAGAGCTCTGGTGCCACAATAAAATAAAGTTCCCATGATTCCCTAACCCTAACCCTTAAAGTGGACTCAATTTGCACTATTTCTGGCAGTCTGCAAAGGCCCTTACTAAAATTTACAACTCTCCCACAACCATGTGCATTTATAATTTAGTCGCAGCTTCTTACAGAAGGGTGACAAAAGTGTCCAGTAGGTGGCAACATATTAACACAATGTTCATAGTTTTTTTTAAAAAAAAAATTCTTGGTGATCTTTCACTGAAAAATATTTCAGGATCAAACTGAAACATCAGCCTTATAGATGTGGAAGGAAGTTGATACCATTGCATCAGAATTTTCATAAACTTTATTGCCAAGGCATTTAGGTCTTTCATACTTTAAGTTTGATCTCCATACTGGAACTTGGGTTTACGTGGATTGTTGTTGTTGTTGCCTTTGAGTCATTTCTGACTTATGGTGACCTTATCATGAGGTTTTCTTGATGATTTGTTCAGAGGGAGTTTGCCATTGCCTTCTCCTGAGGCTGGGAGAATGTGACTTGCCCCAGGTCAGCTAGTGGGTTTCCATGGCCGAGTGAGGATTCGAACCCTGGTCTCCAAAGTCATAGTTCAGTGCCTAAACCACTACACCACACCGGCTTTCACCTGCTCTACATGCAGAGGTCTATTTCTCATGCCTTTTTGGTGTAGTTGGTGTAAGGCAGTGATTCCCAAAGTAGGTGATATGGCCCCCGAAGGGTGGTGGAAAGATGCAGGGAGGCATTGGGAGGGAAAAGGGGCAGCAAAGGAGCTTTCAGTCAAAGTATTGGTGTGCAAGAAAGATGGGAACCAACAATCTTTAGGACTATGGGATGAAGGTCTCATAAAACTTCTTTTCAGGGTCCCTTAAAACCACCGCAAAGCTTTGCTGATCACTTTGCGTGGTGGTGTCCTCCCGGTCTTTGCTTGCCCACACGAGTTCACATCCTTAACATCTTTTGCTAGTAGTGGTGGGAAACTCTTTCAAGGCTTGGATGCAGAGCATTGTTTCTGTGGTTCAGAGCAGCATCATTTTGGCACCGACTGACTAACTGGAGCAATGGGTTAGAGTATGTGGAGGTGGGGGAAAAGTGGTGGCAAAAAGGAACGTCCAAATTTTGGACCCTGCTTCAGCTCTGTGAGCTTTGCCATGACTTGGCTGGCAGGTTGGAGCTGCATTGCTGCTCCTGTTTCTTTCATCAGACAGGCTGAGAGAAGAGGTAGCAAATGAACCAATACTGCACAGAGAACTTGAAGCTGTGTGGGGAAAACATGTCTTCATCTGGGGAAGGATGGGGTCGAATACCTGCAGTTGATTCTTGGAAAGAGTCCTTTGCAGGGAACTTGGAATGGCTTGTACTTAAAATATTCCCTTTTCCCTCTTCATGCCAGTCTCCACTCCAGAGCATGTGGTTTCAGTAAGCCACCACACACATACTAACTGCACCCTACTTTACCTTAACAAAGAAGGTTTGTGAGTCCTTCCTCTCCAGGATCTAGCTTTTCCCTTTGCACCCAACCATCTTGGGAGCAGCAGTAAACTGAGCAGCTACCAAGATGACTTTGTCCATACTAGCCTTTGCCGCAAAGCCACCACAGGTGAGAGGTTTCTCAGCCACTGCTCAGGCAGCTGCTTGGTTGCTGCCCCCAGAGTGACAGGGTGCAAAGGGAGCTGTGACTGAGATAGATTGATTTTTTTGAATTTGCAGTAGAACAGTGGACCTAATATCAAGAAATGGGCCGGGGGGAAGGGACCCTAGGGTTGTTATGGAAGAGGAAAGGGGGTGGTAGTTTGAAAAAATTTGGGGACTACTGGTGTAAGAATTTCTATGTCTAGAACAACATGACATGAGCATTTGTAACAGGCTGTGGACCAATTGAATAATCTTTAGTTGCTCAATCATTTGGCTTTTAGCCAAATTATTTTTGTACTTAGCCAAATGATCTACTACTTTGATTTAATTTGGGTTTATGAAAAGTTTACTTAAATGCTTATATTCTGAATTAAGGGATAATGGGGACTGCATGACGCTAAAAATGGGCTTAGTCTCACCCCAGTGTCAGGGATTCCTCCTCCCATGTTGGTCCATGCTGGCTGGGATTCTGGGATTTGTAGTTCATAATATAAAATCTCCATGGCATACATGATTTTTTTTTTCAGAAACATGTTGGTTTCTGACAGAAATTGCCTTGTAAAAGGCACATCACGTATTTTGGGATGCTATATGATCCATTAAAAAAAGAATGATTGATTTAGCTGTTGTCCTGAGAATTAGCTTTTATGAAGATAAAATCTATTTGAATTAGTTGCCTGATTTTAATTTAGCTGTCTGTGGCTGACAATGTTTCCTTAAGTATTTGATGGTTACATTTTATGTGTGAAAGTCATATTGAAAATCACATTTGGCATCTTTTTGACTCCTCTTTCTCTCAAAAAATGGCTCTCATTAGTAGCTATGAGCACGAATCTTACTTGATCTTACTTGTTAGCATTCTCTGCTGCATATGAGTGAGTCACAAACTAAGAAGAATGACGTGCCAGATTGTTTAGATTTAGATTTAAGCTGGGCATTTAGGGCTAGCATACATGGCTGTTCTTTCCCTTGAAGCTCATAAGTGGAATGCAGACATATCCAAAATATTAAATATATCTAACATGGAGAAGAGCAATTAATTGTACATACACCGCAGCTCAAGCTGGCAGATTTCAGGTATAGGTTTTCTCTTATTTTTCTTTCTTAGCAATAGGAAATTAGAAATTATGGAGTGAACAAAATGGAAAATGGATGACATTGAGTACTTGGATCCATTTCACTATGGTTTTCTCTAGACTGATCCAATGGATTACCTATGCATACCTTGACTGTTTCTCTTGAAACTAAACAGCCTTTGCTATTCCATCAACATTTGTATCTTCTGGATTGGCTTTCTGAAATTTGAATAGAGATCATAGTGTTATCAGTGGTTCTATTCATTTTTGGAGATCTAGTTCCAGAAGATGATGCTGGAGGTCCATTGTTGCTACAGGATCCCAAAAGATCCCATGTTGGTCCCCCATGCTTTTAAACATCTGCATTAAATGACTGATAGGTCATTTGGCATTTCAGAGTGGGCCGTTCCAAGTAGGCAGCTATTACTTACATGCCTGATTCAGGTGAGGCAGCAGCAAAGGAGGTGCTGAATGGATGGTTGGAATCAGTAATGGGCCCTAATGGAAGGATAAAGAAATTGAAGCTCAGTCCTGGCAAGATGGCTTGACCATGGGATGGGTTCACCTTGTTCTAGGCAATATTATATTTCCCCTTTCATTGGTACCACTTTATCCCCACCCACCCCGCTCCCAGCCCAGCCCTTTCATTCCCTTCCCAGCTGTAAACTCCTATTTCTCAACCTGATTTGCAGTTCAACATCCACCACAACAGTGGCATCACTATGGGGTGTGGGGCATGTGTGGGGGTACAGACCACATCAGGTGACACCCTAAGGCAGGGGTCCCTAAACTACGGCCTGTGGGTCGGACTTGGCCCATCGAGGCCTTCTTACCGGCCCACGAGGCCTCCTGCCACCGCCGCTGCGCCACCGCTCTCACGCACCGCTGGCCGCCATTTTGTATTCCAAAATGGCATCCAGAGTCGTGCGTCTGCGCGCTCCACACCGCGTGCATGCACACAACTCCGGATGCCATTTTGGCAAACAAAATGGTGCCTGAGTTGTGCGCATGCGCGTGCACACCACCACCCCCCCGGAAGATCTGGGGGCCAGCAAACCAGCCTCCGGATGAAAAAGTTCGGGGACCCCTGCCCTAAGGGGTGTGTGACACCACTGCTGCTCAAACACCTGCATTTGGGCATCTCTTTAAAATGCTTTAAGAGATGGTGGGAATGAGGTGAAGCTAAGTGGGAAAAGAAAGGATGCCCCTTGAATTTTTTAAAATTAAAATTTCAAATTTAAAAATAATAAATTTATTTTTTGAATTTTTAAAAATATTCTTTTAAAATTTTCTTTAAAAACATTACATTATAAGCAAATCTTCACTATGTATATGTAAATACATTCAGGTTATGTGTATGATATTGTAATTTGAAGGTATAATTTTAATTTTGCTAGTTGTTTGTGTCACAACTATTAGCATTACATTCAGTGGTAAATAGGAATTATGATTTATGAGTAACATTAGTGCAAAAAAAAAAAAAACATTACTAAAGATCCTGTAGGGTGTGAAATGGAGGAAGTCAATGGAGGGTGGTGACACCATGAATTCCCGCACTGGGTGACACCAACCCTAGGGAAGCCAGTGCGCCACAACCCCCATTGAGACCAATGGAAGGTTTCTCTCTGAGTTTAATTGTAGCAGGAATGATATGTATGTGTGTGCACACATGTGTATGAAAGTGTGTGCGAGAGAGAGAAAGGGGAGGGCATTTTATTTGTTTGCTTCTTTGTTTACTTGATTTATATCCCACCTTTCTCCCAAAATACTTGTGGTGGTGGTACCAACTTTAGCAACTTGTATAACTACATGACCAAAGCAAGATTTCTCCCCAACCTACACTTCCAGTTTCTAAGTAGTTCTCCTGTGATTTACAAAAGCAGCTGATTCCAGACCTTTCATGAGAGACAAATAGTCCTATGAAAGGAGAGCTGAACCACCTTTAAACAAAATACAACTGGCATTTAAACAAGTATTTTGTAGGAACGGCTATTTTTAAAAAATAAGTCTATGGATATTACTACTTTGTGGAAATATGTGGATTTTAAAGTCAATTTCAGCTATATGAAAACCAGGCTGTTTCTGGCCTATCTTAGTTTTGTGTGCATGCAGTCGTGAGCCCATCCAGTCCAATTTTGCATGTTCCTGCTTTTTACAAAAGTCCACATAAAATTTACGTTTATTTTCATACATGTGATACAGACATGTTCTAAGTAGATTCAAAGTTCAGTTCCAGCAGACAACTTGGTGAAAGGGGGAAAGTCCTATGTTATTATAACTTTAATTTATGACTCTGATCAAAATCACATTTGGTAGCATCCTTCCTGTCCTGTGCCACATTTGTCTGCAGGGGGGGAAATGACTTATTTGTTAATGCCTTTGTCCCATAAAAAAGTCAAATTATTAGGGAATATATGGCAGTATCAAAGCTGAATGTACTAATCTCTTGTATACATGAAGAAAGAGTAATCTTATTGGTTTTTATATCTTTGCCATTTTAAAAGTCTGGATGAGCCCCTATTCTGTAAAGATTGGGGTGGCGGTACTTAGGTCATTTGGCCACTAATTATGTTATAGTTGCCATGTAATACATCCACCCTTAAACCCATGCAATCACATTCTATACAATAGTCACACTTTCAATAGATGTTCATGCTATGCCAGGGGATCAAATTTTCCCAATGACAAAACAATGCTATTTTCCCCATCATCAACAGAAGTACTACCTGAAGGAAAGAGGGTTTCTGCCTCTTCAGACTGAAAAAAAATTATCTGAAAAGGCCCTGAGGTGCAGATTGGTTGTTGAGGGAGCCATGGCACTTCTGTGTCCTTCATGCTATAGACCAGAGGTAGGCAACCTAAGGCCCGGGGGCCGAATGCGCCCCCCCGAGGCCTTTGGACCAGCCCCAGG